CACGACAGGGACACTTTACCAAAGCGCTTGTAAATGCTGTGAATAGATTCACGCGTGGAATGTGACCCATTACGGAGGAACCAGCGGTGTGAGATTAAAGCGAAACAAGAACCGAGTGCTCGTGCGTGTGTGAGCACCAAGCATCTCAAACATGAAACAAATACAAAAGGGAAATGATCCATAATGTTATCGAGGAGACATTTAAAAGGCTCATATTAATTACGGGCTGCTCGTGTAAATTTCATGTGTGAAATATTATGTTGGAATGTTTTTTGGGGAGTTAAAAGTTATAAGCCGGCTGAATTGGTGGTAGCTAAATAATAATAACTTTACCATAAGAAATACACATTTTGATCGAACAACTGTCCTTCATAATTCCCTAATTAAAACAAAAAATTAGAATCAATATGTTCCACTTTAAACGCCCTGAGTAATATTATTATTAATAATAATAGTAATAGGCTCAATAAAAAGGTCGTAACGTGTGTTACGCTTTTCTCCGTGCAAACGAATGAAAGAAGGAACCGTTAACGTCCATATCTACCGTGCTCTCTCTTTATTACAGACTACACGTGAACATATTCAAATCTTTGGCTTGTTTTGAGTCTGCGCACTGATGTGTTGGAGGACGCCGTGGCGCTACTGTGAGCGACACGGGGACCACCAAAAAAAAACAAGAAAAAAACTATTTCCCGAAAAAAACGAGAACAGACAGGAAGGATCCGGATGAGAGGTGAAATTAAATATACAGTTTACAACATGATAACTGTTTTTGGCTATATAAACTTTAATAACGATCGTTCATTTATATAATTATGTCCATATACTTTCACCATTAACAGAAATGTGTGTGTGGGTGCGTGTGTGTGTTTGTGTTTTTTTTTTAAATAGCGTCTCCTCCACTTCCAGTTCATTTGTTTTTGTTGTCTTTTTTTCTGCTGTCATTGTCTCCAAAAAAAAAAAAAACCCAAAGAGCGAGGCGGCGGACCCCCGGCGGACCCCCGGCGGGCCCCTCGGCCGGCTCACGTCCGGGCCTCTCTACTCGCTCTCCTCCTTCTCCTCCTGCACGGTGGTCGTTGAGTGGTTGTACAGTCCTTGGGCCATGAGCTGCAGCGCCAGGCCGTTCTTGTAGCCGGTGGCCTTTTTGATCTTCGCCCGCTTATTCTGGAACCAGATTTTGATCTGGGACTCGTTGAGGTTCAGTTCCTGGGCCAGAGCCTGTCTGCGCTGCTCCGTTATGTACCGGTTGGCCTGGAACTCGGTTTTCAGTCTCTGCAGCTGCTCGGCCGTGAACGCCGTGCGGGGCCGCTTGTCCTCCTTGGGGCTGCTCTTCTTCTTTTTCAGTTTGCGTGTCCTCGGGCCTGGCGTGGAAACAACCAAGGGGAATAAAATATTTATTCTACTGCTGGACCGCGAGACCACCACGTCCCGCGCGGCCTGATTAAATGTAGGTCACCCCCCAAAAAAGAACACAACAACAAAACAAATATCCTGGTATGAATCTTCTGATTGACTCATGACAAAACCTAAATAACGGAGCCATACACGAAGCCCCGCCATCTACTCTTCCTTAGTCATTTATACTGACAGATATTGAAATGTGTGTCACTCATCCCTCCGCCGCGCAATATAGTGCCACGTCGGTCGCGGTCTCGTTGAGGTCGTGTCGGATTACTACTCCACGCTATTATTAATTCATATTCAACTAATAGTATCTGCTATTTAATATGAGGGAGGGGGGTGTTGGGGGGATTATTAGAAGAAGGCTTCGGTAAAGGCAGCGGGCCACTGGACATACACTCTTTTTTAATATTAGGATAGTCTTTTCTTTACGGTTTGATGAAATCCGTCTGTATGCGCGGATTTGAACGCGGCAGGAGGCTCGCTGCTTTAGTACAATCAAGCAAACACGGTTACGCGGCTGTAGGGCGAGCACGCATTAACGCAAATAAAACCACATCTACGTTAACGGCAGGTCCTTTGACCTTCGTCTTCAAACAACACACATGCATATTATTCTTCACAATTCAGTTAAGACGCCGAGGTAACTATGTGAAATTGTACTAAAGAAACGTCCATCCATCCATCCATTGTCAAACCGCTTATCCTGCACACAGGGTCGCGGGGGGGCTGGAGTACTAAAGAAACGTGTTTTTTTTTAATTATAGTTTGTGTTACAATCAATATGGAATATAATCCGCCATTTAGCTGTAAATTACCAGCTCGTGTTGCAGTTGTGTGTCCAGACGCACTGTGCATCCTCCGCAACAACATCCGGGGCAGTTACACATTCAGGTTAAAGGGCAGCAGGGGTCGTTATGAATTTAAATGTCTCCTCTATTTGCCCATAAATACGTATTGTTATTTTGTTATCTATAAATTGTTTATTTGACCAGAAGTTGCACTGCTTTTAAAAACAAGCCTTGTCCATGGGGTAATTTATTTGCGAAACATGTGTTATTATAAACGTGGGATTCTGAAGCTGTGCGGTTGTTATTTTCTTTTTTAAGTCGTATCAATATGTAATATCACCCTAAATGACTGTAACCCACTGCGGTCCTTGATGTTTCTACAGCCCAATCATTTATTACACAGATATTAGAGCATAATGCTTTTCGATCAGCTCACATTTAAATGCAAAGACAAAGACAGGTTTGCTACTGTTACCTCTGATATTATCCAGATTAATCCGATATTTTTCTGTCAACATATGCTTACGAAGAGAAAAAGACCCAACGGATACAGATTCTCTCCACACGCACTACCCCAGCCTTTAATGCACAATGGGAATATATTGCACAGTGAATTGCATAGGAAATTATTCCGACTTTTGCAAAATAATGGATATTGTTCTACAAATATGAGGCACTTCATTCCTTTAAGCGCTTTTTACGTCTAAGTGGGCGCGCGCGCGTGTGTGTGTGTGTGAGCGAGAGGAGTAATGTAAATGAATTGTCTCTGTAGTTTCTAACCTTACTATATTCATTTTGATAAAGCCCGTCCCTCTTTCATTAAATTACAATTAATTAAAAGAATGCTGTCCTGCGTTAAAGTCACAAATATTTCCCAGACAAATAATATTAGTAAACCTTGAAGGAAGCAAGACGAGGAAGTCAACCAAAACAAAGCCCCCCCCCCCCACCCCCCCTCCTTACTGGGATGAATTGGGGACTAATTACGCCCTACACAAAGAGGGCCCGTCCGAGTAGCGCGTACAGTAAACCCAAGCGGGCCACAGCATCGGCTGGCTTTCTTTCGTGATGGGTGGAGATCCTCCATTGCTGCCGCTCACCACCATGATGGACGAGGGGCTGTCGGCGTACCTGCCGGCGCCCGCGCCCGCCGCTTCGCCCTGTTTCGACGACTTCTGCTTGGACGAGGGCGAGGAGGACGTGGACGACGACGACGACGAGGAGGAGGAGGAGGAGGAAGAGGAGGGCGACGAAGAGGGGCTGTCACTGCTGCAGTTGGAGTCCAGGCAGAGGCTGCCGGTGTGCGGCGGCCTCGCTCCGAGCGGGTTGACGTTTTCCCGGCCCGGCGTCTGGCTCCGGTCGCGGTAGCTCGGCTCCTTCCTGCAGCCGAAGTCCGGCCGCAGGATGTTGTCTATGAAAAAGTTCGTGGTTCGGTGGGCCTGCTGGGCCGCCTGGTGGGGTAAAATCACGGGAGGGGATGGCAGGTTCGGCGACAGGGACATGCTCTCCTCCTCGGTCGAGTCCCGGCTGCCGCTGGGCTCCTTCCGCTCCTCCATAGCCGATCGACGGGGGGGGGGGACGAACGAATGTCCGGCCTCTCCGCGCCAAACTCCACTTGTTGCTCGCTCTCCCGCCCCCCTTTTCGGTATCCAATTCAGACGCTCGGCATGTACACAACGAGCCTCTTCGTGGGGACAAAACCAATAAGCACCTGTGAGTGATTCTTCTATTTTTTTTTGGGTTGTAATACGACCTACAGCGGCGGCATGTTGTCTCCTAAAGCCCGTCCGAGCCGTGGCACAGCGAGCCGCTGCGCGTTCAGACCAGAGTCCCTGCCTCTCTGCGCTGCAGCATAATATCTGTGTATTCGCCCTTCTTTGACTCCCCTAAAACCGTTTACCCCCCCCTCTCTCGCCTCCCCCTGTCGCTCTCTCCCCTCTCTCTCTCTCTCTCGCTCTCTCGCACCCCAGCACGTGTGCGCGTACACACGTGTAGCGGACCAATCCGGTGCCGAGCTCGCCGTTGTTTGCGATGAACGGCGTCCAATAGAGACTCGGGGTGCGCCTGCCAGCGCGCACGAACATGCACGTTATATTTTTAATATGACTAAATGAGAATTTGTTTTTTTTAAGGCTAATTTTCCGCGTGCGGGCTCCTCGCTGATCAGGGGCTTCGCGAATCTCGTGTTGTTGACACTATTTATATGTTCAATTATATTATAAATTATTTTGCCCAAAATGTTGCTACTTTAGAGCCTTGGAATAACATCTCAGTTTTTACTCAAGCTGAACGTCTCTAAAAGGCTCAGTTTGGTGTTCTGCTCTGTTCCTAGCAATTATTCTATTTATTTATTTTTGCATTGTTTTTATTGTTTTTTCCTTGCTTTCTTTTGCCACGCGCATGACGTGTTTTTGGTCCCATTCCTGGTTCCAACACCCTGCTTGTAGACATGCCGGACGTTAAGCAGCATGTATACGCTTCTTATTTTTATTTTTTTTAAATACAAATTTTTTTTTGATAATGAAAAATGAGGTTCAAGTATTCAAACCCATCGAGGCGCAGCACGCACGGATGTGTCCAGAGAGGAGCTTTGTGGAGACCAAAAATAGAACATCTCTGGAAAAAAGAACACAACCGCCACCGCACGGGCTCTAATTGGCAACGTGAAATAATAATATCAATAATCATAAAACCCACCGCAGAAAAGGGGGGGACGTGTGAGTGGGGAAATTCTCCTCCCCCCCCCCCCAATTGGGGGGGGGGGGGGGGGGGGGCCGTGGCTACTTAATTAAATTCCAATTAGGGACAGTATCAATACGCCTGTTTAGCCGCAGCGCCATTGTGGGCAAATGAGCACTCAGTCCGCTCTTATCTGGCGCCCGCAAAGAGAGCCTCCTTGAGAGGGCCTGCAAAAGATAATTTATAGCTTTTAATTAGTCTTCATTCCGCCCGATCGGGCCGACGTTCATCACGAAGAATACAAAAAGAAACACACAAAAAAACAACCAGAGTCAAAAGGCCTGTCACCGGTCCCTGGCAGGGCCCTTAATCAAAGCGGGGCAGGGGCCGCGCTACAAGCCACGTGACTTCCAAGGTGCTGATAAAGCGCGTTGAATAATAGCGGCGGCCCCTCGGAGGCTCCATTTACAGGAATGGCTTTATTGACGGCTTAACGTCGGTGATTCATTTTACCTTTCATGTATCGGGAGCCGGATTTGTCGCCGTAATGGGATGATGAATGCACTGACGGATCGCAGCCCGCGGCTTTTATTGAGTAGCCCACTGCTTCCATCCGCGCGTGCACGCACGCACGCGGTGCACGACGAGGCTCTTAGAAGTTACCTGGATTGTAATGTCATTTATTTGTCATAGATAATACATTTGTTTTTAAGTTAAAATGGTTTTTAAGAGATAAACTGGACGAATTAGAGTTATTTTCTTATAAACATTATGTTATATGGGGAAACGTCTTTATTTTTTGTTTTGCAAAACATCTATTTCTAGCGCAAACATTGTGGGAGGAAAAAATGAGCTCCACCATCCTGGTGTAATAGAACGTTTTCACTTAGGTCTAATCTTTAACCCTAAGCAAATTCTCAATAACCCAAAAGGTTGAATTTACATTTAACAATATGTTCATCGGAACTAAAAACAACACAATGTTAAGCTCTGCTACCATTGGTGTATCCACAAAAAAAACACAATCTGTCTTCATGAGTTTGTGAAATTGTCATTGTTTATGCAGGGGAACCATCTCCTCTTGACTTTGTGAGATGCAGTAACAAATGTGTCACGTTTCAGATGACACGATAAGGTGTGGTACCTCGCGGAGAGCTGAGCCTCTTTTCAGTGAAGGGCTGCATCTAAGCGACTGTGCTGCCACCTCGTGGGGGACCACGGGAAGTGACCTCTGCTTCTTTTAGGTATGTCAACTGTCATTTTCAGTAAAACTGGCCTTTGAGGTTTAAAGGTCACCGTCCAAAGGAAATGGACCACAAGCGCCTTTTTGTTACAAGTCACAAGCTAAATGCAGATAAAAATAATTTGTTGGGTAAAGCCGTGCTTTTACCCAAGTTTTTAATGACATGACATCTGGTAAGAGAAAGTCAAAAGCAAGTATATCACTTTAGTGACACCTAGTGATCTTGATGTGTAAGTGCACAAGCTTTCTATTTTTTTTTTTACATAAGAACAACAATTTATATCTATATACATATATATATATATATATATATATATATATATATATATATATATATATATATATATATATATTTTTTCATACAATATATAAAACATAATAAAAAATCAATGACTAAACAATTGATGCATTTAAAAAAAATGTCTGAATTAAATATGTTCACAGGAATCCTGTGATATAATGTACATTTGGATTTGATAACATACATCCACACACGTCATATTAATACAAACATTTAAGAGACATACACTTTTTTTAATATAAAAACATAACACCTGACTAAATTGTCCCTCAACTATTGACAGAGGTTTGGCCTTGCACTGCGCTTATTGTCCACCAGGGGTCAGACTAAAGCAGCTGGAAAACCCCTCAGTTGAGGAGACACTGTCATTGATTAAGAAGCGCAATTAGGAAGCATTAATTAGACAAACAAAAGCATTTTAAACAGTCCGAAAAACAAGTCAAGTCGGTGTTAGAACCATGTCACTTGACACTAGTGTGAAATCATTAAACAGGACATTTCAATAATACTTGCAAGCGGAAGACAAATTTCGACAACGTACACAGGTTAGGCTTCCCCAAGGTCATCTTCTGCACTGGAATATATAGCCTGAGATAAACATACTGAAGCCGGGGGGAGTGGGGGGGTGGGGGGGGGGGGGGGGGGGCTATATGGACACACACAGAGCTGTGGCTATCATTCTCTGAAGAGAGGCCCTTTGCCTCCCACCTCAAGACATGCATTTTACCCCCCTTGTTGTATTTTTACAAAAGAGAAACAAACTCTCTTGTGTTCTTTAAGCACTACCC